GCACAATTCTGATCTCATGCCTAATGATACTAAACTCAGCATGTAATGGCTGAAATTAAATTTTCATTGTATTTGCGCTATTATCTATACTAATATTATAAAAAGGTAAGATTTTTTTTGTTTGTTTGTTGGTACCGAATAAGCTCCGAAACTACTGAACCGATTTAGATGAAATTTGGTAAAAGGATAGTTTCAGGCCCTGGGATGGACATAGGATAGTTTTTATTCCGGAAATCATCCCTTAGGGGTTGAAAATGGGGGTGAAATTTTGTATGGGGAAGCAACCTAGGGACGGACCCGAGCGAATAATAACTAATATTATAAAGAAATGTTTGTCACGTTGAATGCGATTCGAAGAAAAACTTTTAGTAATGGAACGCGAAGTTTCGTAAGTTCTATATAATTCCCATTTTTTCGGGCCCATCAGCCGCCTAATTGGCCTTCTTTCAATGCGAGGGAAATTAGACCATTGGCAAATTTCACATTTCTGTCGAAAATTAGTTAAGTTCTCTCAGAGATGCATGTTTTTAAGATGTTTTGTTTTACCATAAGGCAAGTTGTAATCATACTGAAAATAATTCGCACATGAATATATTAGAAGTACAAGACGTGGATTTGAACCTGTAGCACTTGGTTTTTCTAAACGAGTGTTACCACTGCTCTTAAAATTAAAGAAGTTAATATAATGCAAAGTAATAAATAAATAATAATAAATAAATATGTTGGGACATTAAGACACAGCGCCATCTAGTTCCATGGTAAGCTACGAGGCCTGTGTTATGGATACCAGATAGTAGATACACTACACATATATTACTTTAAATACATACATATTATAAATATAAAACACCCATGACTGGAGCACAAACATTCGTGCTCATCACGCGTTTTAGAAAACCTATACTCACATACAGAATTTAGTTAGTTAGTAAGTTTTATTAGGGATTTGTTATAATTTAATGTATATTTTTCCGACTTCCTATAAAGAGGAGGTTCTCAATTCGCCAGAATCTTTTTTTTATGTATGTTCACCGATTCCCATTTAAAATTTATCGAAAACAGTCGAGCAGTTTTAAAAAAAATTTACAGTAAAATATTTCTTTAAATAAATTGCTTAATTGAATTTGTTATTAAAAAGCTTTTCTCTTACAAATTACCTGCTTACTACGTCTATATTAAAAATGGAAAAATAAAAACTTAAAAAAAACCGACTTCCAGGCACTAAAATGTAAAAAATAACTAAACGGGGGTTTTCATTTAGAATAGATACCTAATCAGATATTTTCTAAGTCGGTGCCAGGCGACAATATTTTAATATATGAACATCTAATAGGTAAATATGTATCTATTTAACGTATCGAAATACATATATTAGATTTTCTTTGTATCGGCTGGCTGGCAACGACTTCGAAAATATCTGATTAGGTATCTATTCTAAATGAAAATCCCCATTTAGTTTTTTTTTTAATATTTTAGTGCCTGGAAGTCGGTTTTTTTAATTGATTATACAGTAATTATAGCTAACGTTATGTACACTTGTATAGACATAATATGTGCTAGGTACATATCCGATTGATGACTTATAAATTAATGTTTTAATATGTGTGCTGTTAATTTACTTTTCTAAATACATAAATAAAATAAATAAATTAAGTTAATTAAAATTCTTATATACATACAAAAGGTAATTATTATATTAAAGTTTTTTTTACTCAAACCCACATTATAATTTTTTTTAATTATTATAATTATAATTGATGATGTGATGATGTTCTCCTAGCCGATTCCGGCCACGGCGGCCAATCTCATTGAGATTAGCCAACTGCGCAGGAAGTATTATAGTGCACAAGTGTACGCGCAGACACAACGTGCACTCTCTATTCCTGTCACTCTCATACTCCGGTGGGACGATCACTCGACACGACCGGTAAGAGTTAAGGCGCAGGACCGACGGCTTTACGTGCTCTCCGAGGCACGGGGGTGAAACACCGCCAACTTCCCAACTCCGGGTTGTTACTGAGACTTACTATACAGAAAGACTCAATAACTAAACTTGGCCCGACCCTATAATTAATTACGATACGTATATAGTAGTATAAAAACTAAACCGAAACAATATATATTATACCTACTAAATAATACTATATAATATCTATGTATATAAAAAAACATACATACATACGAACATAGAACCTCCTTTTTTTGGACGTCGGTTAAAAAGACATTCGACTATTGACTCTTTCAGAAGGACACGAGCGGGTGTAACGACCTTAACCTTTAGACACACCTTTCCATCAACGTAATAGAAAAAATGTTTTACAAAAAAAATAGCCGATGTGTTACTTCAGGGTCATAGTCGATCTGTGTATGTACAAAACTTTGATTAATAAATAAATAAGTAATAATAAATAAATATGTTGGGACATCAACACACAGCACCATCTAGTTCCATGGTAAGCTACGAGGCTTGTGTTATGGATACCAGATAGTTGATACACTACACATATATAACTTTAAATATATTCATCACACAAATGAATGCCCTCAGTGGGACTCGAACCCGCGACCGCTGGCAAAGAAATAGATGGCGGAAACAAATTTGTAGTACAAATGCTCTGTTCCTTATCAAAGTTACTTTAAATATTTTGAAGTACCCATAAGAGTAATACTGTTATTAGCCATTGACCAGAAGGATTCTGGTGTTAGTGAATTTTGTTCTTTTAGAGAAATAAATATCTTAAACCATATTATAATTTATAAAAAATCAAACTGTAAAATATAATAAGTTTATTATTTGAATCTATTATACCGCAAGTACAATAATCAAGTCATAAAATTAATAGTAATTTAGTATTGTTTAGTATAAAAATAAATCTTTTACAAAATTTCGCTTTGGTTTTCAGTTAGAAGACAATATGAGGCCTAAAGAGTGATAGAGATGTACGAGTACTTCTGTTAACTATGGACGAACTCGAGGAAAACGAGGGTGCCACACTAGTATAACAAAGCTATAAAGAATCAAAACTGAATTTAATAAAATTATAAGAAAATCTACGTAAAATTTCTCCTAGAATTTTAAATATTTGCATCATAAGGTAAAGACGTGATACTTAGTACTTTATTCGCATCACTTAACCGAATAATGCAGCTCAGTGCGCCGGATGCACAATTTTCATCTCGAACAACTGATGGGTATCTTAATTTAGTTTGTACTAATGCTAGCTATTCACTATTGTACAGTGAAATGAAAGAATTTTATAGAATATATATATATATATATATCTATATATATATATATATATATATATATATATATATATATATATATATATATATGATAGATATCGGACTACTATTATGAATGAAATACTAGCGACTCACCCTCGCTTCGGTCGAGTTAGTCCCTAGGTTCCACATACCAACTTTTATTCCCATTTTCACCCCCTTAAGGGATCTCAAACCATCTTCTTACATCTAAATCAGCTCAGTAGTTTTTGAGTTCATTCGTTACAGACATACAAATATATGAAACGTTCCTCTTTATTATATTAGTATATATAGTGTAGAATAGTGTAGATGTAAACTAGCGATGGACGAATTTGGATGAAATTTAGTAGTTACATAGATAGATTATACTTAGACTCTAGAATACATAGGCTAATGTTAGACATATACGTTGAATGAAAACGTCGTGAGGAAACTTGCATGTCTGAGAGAACCTAGCAAGTTTTCGAAAGACATGTTCAGGCCGCCCGCACTTAGCCAGCGTGGTGGACTATGGCCTGATCCCCCTCGTATTGAAGGGAGGCCCACCCCCAGCAGTGGGACTTTAAAAAGGGCTAAATACAGGCGTATAGGGACGCACCTGAGCGAAGCGAAGATAAATCGCTAGTACATAATATGTTATTAGTAATAAACATATCGGATACGATCGATTTAGTTCAATCTAAACTAAGAGATTACGTTGGCATAGTTCCGTATATTTATACAAATACAATATACTTTATGAAAAAAAATTTAAAACAAGATGGCAAATGTGACGTCTGAAAAAAAAGTCGATACGACCAGTAATTAAATTAGCAATAACTATGCGGAGAATGTATATATTACAATATATTTTAAAATAATATATTCGTATAAAATCAAACATTTATACGATTATACTATTAACATTTAATATTTAAATTAAAAAAAATTATGAAAAATATATTATCAACGCAAAAACAGTCGTACCAACACAATAAATATAATTATTATAAAATTATTTTAATGTTGTCAAATTTTATTGTATTGTAAAAGTAAATTGAAGGAATAGCCCTAGCCAATAACTGTATAGTACCGAATATGTAAAAAAATTATTTGCCTTTTAAATAAAACTGTATATTCGAATTTTTCCGTGGATTTATTGATTCTTGGTTCTCGACGTTTCAAATACAGTGATCATGATCACAGGACATACAGCATTTGAAACGTCGGGAACTAAAAAAAATAGAATAAATTCGCGAAAAAATCCTAAATAGTTTTCTTTAAAATATCAAATATTTGCGTAAATATAAAAAAAAATATTTTTTGCCTTCTATTTTTTTTATTAGTTAATAAACACAATTATAAACCATATCATATATAGAGAGAGAGAGAGAGTTGTTGCAAATATTGCCATTATACAAATTATTATAATTTAAAACACGGTATAATACATTCAATTCAATTCTCACCATTTTTTTTTCTTTTATTAAATCCTAACAAGATCAATTTAAAATGACAACGATCTATCAAGATCACGAGGCTTACACACGATGTCATACAACAAGCATCAACGAATAAAAATCTAAAAAACACATAACCCTTTTTTGAGCTTCGCCGCAGTCGGCTAAAAATATATGATTTTAGTCATTTAAATACAATTTTCATATCTATTCTTAGGCAATTGTAGAATACTATCTTATTTAAGATATTTTATATCAAATAAAGGAAATAAAGGTAGCATAAGCAAAACTTACCTAAAAAATCCAATAGCAAGACACTACATTGCACGGCAATGACCAAAAATAATATAATGTCCGTCTAAAAATCGACAAAATGGCTAGGTTACGCCAAACGTGAACAAACCGCAAGATGTCAATCCGTAATGGAACACTGAGGTCGGCTAACCATAACTCAATTAGGAGTATTAACTGCTTTTCCTTAGTGATGGACAGACGTCGGTAATATTTTTATAAATTATATATATATATTTTTATTATATGAGATTTTTTTTGTTATTTTTATACATACATATATTATGATTTAATTAATAAGGTACGCTTTATATGTAGTGTCATATTTTATTAAAATGAGAGACTACTTATGAGGTTTATCAATCACTAGCGACTCACTCTCGCTTCGCTCGGGTTCGTCCCTAGTTTTCTTCCCAATACAAACTTTCATCCCCATTTTCACCTCCTTAAGGGATGATTTCCGGGATAAAAAGTATCCTATATCCTTGCCAGGGTGTCAAACTATCTTCGTACCAAATTTCAACTAAATCGGTTCAGTAGATCCAGAGATTACCCGCTGCAACGTCACAAACTAACAAACTTTACCTCTTTATAATATTAGTATAGATTAAAGAATATATGGCAAAACATTCATGATCGTTGAAGAAATTACATATTTAACACAAAAACATATTTTTGTATATATTTGTCCTTTTTAAAGTCTTTTTTCAATAACATAAATAAAGTGTTTTTTTTTTCATTAACAATTTTTCATTCTACATTATTATAACTCTATCTCAATAATTTCTGTTTAAACCACTTAAAATACATATTATATTATTCGAGCCAAGTGTATATAATATATAAATAAAAACTTTTTAACAAAAAATAAAAACCGACTTCCAGGCACTAAAATGTAAATAATAATTAAACGGAGCCTTTATTTTTGTTGTTTTTATTTTTTGTTAAAAAGTTTTTATTTTTCCTTGTTTAGTGTAGAGGTAATAAGCAGGTAATTTGTTAGAAGAAAGTTTTTTAATAACATATTCGATTAAGCAATTTATTTAAAAATATATTTATTGTTAACTAGCGGTTCACCCTCGCTTCGCTCGGGTTCGTCGCTAGGTACGTTTTGAATAGATATAAATAGTTATTAGCCAGCATAGCCATATAAATTTTATTTTTTTTCTTTATAAAAACCTTCCGTGGACCTTAAGGAACATGCCAAAAAAATATTAGTCGAATTGGTCCATCCATTCTTGAGTTATGCGCTTACCAACATTCATTTTTATTTATATAGATTCAAAAAAAACCGCTCTACCGATTTCGATAAAATTTATATGGGAACACCTAGAAAGTATACCCTTTGAAACAAAAAAAAATTCCAAATCGGTTCAGGAGTCTTCGAGTAATCGGTGAACATACATACATAAAAAAAAAGATTCCGACGAATTGAGAACCTCCTCGTTTTTGGAAGTCGGTTAACAAATAAAGTGTTTTTTTTTATTAACAATTTATAATTCTACATAGTCTCTACATTATTATTTCTGTTTAAACCACTTTAAAATACATATATTATTCGAGCCAAGTGTATATATATATATATATATATATATATATATATATATATATATATATAAATTAGTTATAGTGTAGATGCCTATAGATTTGATTTCACTACGTGGTTTCCCAGATCCCGCTATTTGACCTCAGAAAATCTTCAAGGTTGAAATAATAACTGTTTTGTTAGATTAATAAATTGTGGCGTTATCAATTACCACAAGTTATCCGTTTGATACAAATGATAGTTTGGAACAATGAGGAGATTAATACTATTTGTACTAGCGATAATACTTTTGCTTGGTTTTTGGGCTAGATCCCTAAAAATAGTCTATGTTACTCCAGGATACAATCTATCCATCCATCAAAATCTATTCAGCCATTCAGCGTAAATGCACGAACGCATTAACATATCAAACCATTTGAATTCCTTTAAAACACATTTTAAATAAAACTTTTTTGTGAAATAAGAAACAGAAGTTTTATAGTTAAAGAGGTGAGTACTAGCCGAACAATATTTTAGAATAATTCGTTACGTCACATTATTTTAACGTCACGTTATCTTCTAATATAAAAATTTCTCGTGTCACAGTGTTTGTAACAAAACTCCTCCAAAACGGCTGGACCGATTCTTATGAAATTTTGTGTGTATATTCATTAGGTCTGAGAATAGGACGTAAACTATTTTTCATACCCCTCAGTGATTAGGGTGGTCCACCCCAAAAAAATCTTATTTTTTCATATTTCAACTGCAGAATTACCTACGGATTTAGATGAAACACCATTATTTATCAAATTTCAGAAATATGGTGTCACGTTACTAAATTACAGGAATAGCCTCCGAGTAAAATGGCTGTCACATACTGACAGACAGACGTGACAGTATAAATATTTAGTTTTTACCTGTTGGCTATGCATCCATAAACAGCAATTACATTAAATAAGACCTTAGCATAATGTTTTCAAATAGCTGTTTAAAATGACTATAAAATCTACACATTGCACTAAATAACACTAACTCTATTATCAATAGAACGTATTACTTTACGAGTGTATCGATTGTAAAATTTTATAGCATTCCCATCACTGAGATCTCAGTTCTGGTTTAAACTTCGTCTTCATAGTCCATTCTAGACTGTTACTGTACTTGACCTAACGTACATTTATTAGGCTTCTAACTTATTGTATAAGGGTTATATATAGGACCTAATGCATCTTGATTTTTAGTATCATAATTTGCCTAGCAGCATGAACGAATTAGAGACTAATTCGTTCATGCCTAGCAGATATTAATCTATACTAATATTATAAAGAGAAACATTTTTTTTTTGTTTGTTTGTACCGAATAAACTCCGAAACTACTGAACCGATTTAGATGAAATTTGGTAGACCCTAGAAAGGACATAGGTTACTTTTTATCCCAAAAATCATCCCTTGAGGGGGTAAAAATTTTTTTTGCTTTGTTTCAAACAGTTTAAACAGAGCACGTCGATATATCAACTCAACAATCAGTATTTTTTTCATCTTCAATTAAAGTTATTATGATTTCTGACAGTAAACAAATTATAATCAGAAAAAAATAGGCAGTGGTAGCTTAGTGGTAACGCGCTTGCTTGGGAAACCAAGTAAAGCGGGTTCAAATCCTGGATCCTGACCACCTGAAACCTGCATGTCTGAGAGAACCTAGCAAGTTTTCAAAAGACATGTTTAGACCGCTAAACGGTAATATAGCTACTTTTTAGGGAAAAAAATCCAGAAACGGATCCGTTGTTCCGAGATAACCGATAACGAGATAAATCTCTATATACAAACTTACAAACAAATATTGGTTCTCTATAATATTCGTCTACATACAATATGCACGTATAAGTAACCCCATTAGAATAGGTATTATGTAAACAATGATGATGTAATAAAGCCCTACAACTTAAGCTTTGTTATATTGTTAAGACCATAAATTATGATATTACGGTAAATATTTTAAATGAAACAATTTTTTTCGTATTTTTCGAGATCTACTTTTTGATTCTCGTTTAAAAATTATCATCGGACTTCCTATGTATCGTATTTTGCCCCTTTTAACATCCCATTGCTAGGCACGGGCCTCCTTTCAATATGAGGAGGATCAGACTATAGTCCATTACTCTTATATAGGAGAAGATTTATATATGCGGCTGAACAAATTGGGATGAGCATACAGACTATCTGCTCTTAGTATAGTAATAAATTTAACCAAAAGGTGGCGCTAGCTGTATATACTAATATTACAAATGTGAAAGTTTGTTTGTTTGTATGTCTTTCTTTCACGTCGAAACGGAGTGACGGATTGTCGTGTTTTTGTGTGAAGATAGTTGAGGAGCTGGAGAGTGACATAGGCTACTGTTTTTATCGCGGGAGATCATCTCATTTCCACGAAAAACACGTTAAAATACAACCCAAAAAAATATTTATGAACAGAACTACTTAAAACTTAGTATTAATGCTCTTCAATATAATTAAGTAAATAATTGTTTTGGCATTTTTCGAAATTTAACCCATAAAAGGGTAAAATAGGGGATGAAAGTTTGTATGAAACTTACCTTTTTAGAGTCTTTATTATAGTTTTAACGCGAGCGAAGCCGCGGGGTCTGCTAGTAATATTATAAATGTAAAAGGCAGCTCTCATGAGCGAAGCGAGGTTAAGTCACTATATTATAAATAATAGTACCTGGGCGACCGAGCTTCGCTCGGAGTTCTTTTTTGTTGTAGGTTTTTTAGATATTTTTTTTAAATAGAATTGATTTTTTAATACATTTTTGTAGACTTAAATAAATACAAAAAAAACAAAAGCAAAAATTTTGTATCCGACCTGGATTCGAACCCGGACGGACATCTGTGATTGTCAATCTTGCACCTTAGCCGCTTGACAACGATGCTTATGCGAAAGCTTGCGAAATTAGCGACGATATTTTGCGTGAAATAATGCGAACGAAAATCGCATGAAAACTCGAAAACACGCGTTTTCCCAGACATAAGACTAATCTAGATCGATTTTTCGCCCCCGAAAACCCTCACAAACCAAATGTCAGCGAAATCGTTAGAGGTATTTCCGAAATCGCCCGCGCCGGTATAAATAAATAAATAAATATACAAGAATTACTTATAATACTTTCTTAGATTTATGCAAATATTTGACATTTTAAATAAAACTATCTTTTCGGATTTTTTCGCCGATTTATTTGGATTTTTGGTTCTCGACGTTTCGAATGCAAGAATTGCTCGTTTAAATATATTAGATTTCACAGTTTAGTTCCGTGCGGTCGATGATAAATTGCTCTATTTCTTTTAGATTTGAAAAACATCATAAACAACATAGCATTAACCGATTGACCTTTAGGTACTTTCATAATGAAACAATTCACATAAATTTCATATCCTCTGTAGAGTTAAAGCTAACTATATTAAATTATTCTTCATGGTAATTCGGGTAAGTGAACAGTTCTCATGGGATTGGAGAAGTTTTTAATTTTTTAAATTGATACCATTTTCCTTTTACCCTTTGAATATAATGAATGTAAAACGATGGACGTAATTTCAAGTAGTATTAATTTAGCTAAACGAATATATTATCTAAATGGTATGGTATGGTTGGTATGCTTGGGTATTTTATCAGAAGTTGTAGATTTTGCTTTTAGAGTAAAATTGGTTGATTAGGAAAAGGTTAGCAAGTATCGCTAAGAACAAAAAAATCCGTCCGTTTGTATCGCGTTCTCTCGGAGAACAAAGTGAAGCAGGTTCAAATCCTGAGTTTCGCAACTCTGATATTTGTTTGAATAATTTTCAACATGTTTAAAAAAATACTGTGAAATACTGGCTAGTTTTAGAAAAACATGTAAGCCCGAATTTCGTCCGCCAGCCTGGACTTCGTCAGCGTGGTGGACCATATATTATAGCCTGATCCCCTCGCACACCTCAACGCGAGAAAGGCCCAGCTGTAGGTAGTCGTAAAAAAGCTAAATGAGAAATAGTACCTACTAAATTTTCAAGGGTTTCACTAAAGATTTTTTTTAAAACTGTATCCAAAACCATGACATAATAGTTCGTATGAAATTTTATTTTCTTTTTCTTTAATTATTTTTCTAGTTCAATTTTCTTCTAAAAAGCTTATATTGATCTTCACGCCATTTGTATATACCTAATGCAAAATCTTGAAGACAAGCCAAAGGCTAAAGGCTGCATCACTTATTCTAAAAACTAAAACGATTCACATAAATGTTTCTATCATAATATATTCTGACAAGCCATAGATATTAATAACTATAGCGTTAGTTTTTTTTTTATCGATGTTTGACATTCATGTAAACAAAACAATCATTAAACGTAGTAAGGCTCGCAGCAAGTATACACCTGTAGGTCTTTAGCTGCATAATACTATGTGACGACACGTTTGGCTCAGTCTGTAGTGACGCTGTGCCAGGTCGCGAGTTTGAGTCCCGTTGGGGGCATTCATTTGTGTGTTGAACATGAATGTTTGTACTTCAGTCATGGGTGTTTATATTTATAATATGTATGTATTTAAAGTTATATATGTATAGTGTATCAACTATCTGGTATCCATAACACAAGCCTCGTAGCTTACCATGGAACTAGATGGTGCTGTGTGTTAATATCCCAACATATTTATGTATTTATGTTCTTACGTCAACTCGTTTCCTTCTTTTTAGTTTGTTTTTACGCAGTTAGGTTTTATCGTTTTTGTTATTCAATTTTTTATTACATGAATTATTTTATTCAAACTAGAACGTTCATATATGAAGAAACAAGAATCAGCAATAATGTACAAACTATAAACAATCACAGTTATTTAACAAAATATATTTCTGAACTTGAAGAACCCACGTAAATAAATGACGTTTAAACTCTGACTCTATTACACAAGAATAAGTTGCAAATTTCAATGATCCCAAGTAATAATTGAAATTATTATTATTAAAAATCGACTTTATAACAAGGATAATAGAGTGCATTTTCAATTTTGATTTAAAATACGGTGTAAGAAGCTCGTCCTCGTTGGATAGGCTTCATCGCATTAGCTTTCACGTGTTTAGGAAATTTCGCGTCATAGTCTGTGAGGTAATAAGGACTAGCGATATTCAATTAGAGTATTAAAATGATTTATAATGAATTGATATATAAAACATAGATACAGATTTTCTAACAAATGTATTTTTAAATGAAGGAAGTCGGTTGAAAATGGTGTCTACGTACATGTCAAATCAAAGAATGAAATTCAAAAACCGAAAGTTCTAATTTTCTAGACACAAATTCTAACTCACGCGCACCATATACAGTACTTTTTTCAACGAAACAACGTGCGTTTCACTTTTATCATCCGAAAAGCAATTAACAAAAAGAGAGTTGGAAAAGGTGGAAAATTTCGAATTGTGGTGCACTTTTCTCAAGGCTCTAATAATTAATTAGTTTTAAAGAAAATATTTGTTTTGTGAAAAATTGCGATTTTTTAGAAAAAACACAACAAATACAAAATAAACTTAAAAAGCAAAACCTTATCTAAATACAAAATTTGATCCAAATCGTTACAGCCGTTTCCGAGATAAACGAAATAAATTTATATGCCTATATACAAGAATTATTGCCCTCTCAATATTATAAAATTTATATCACAAGAAAACTATACTTAATATGCGGAATATAGATAAAGATCTATAAATTTTGCTTAAACAAGCAATAAATTAAAACGATCAAACAGATTTATAGACAATCGTGATTATTAGATTTAAAATACTTTATTCTAACCCATTTGATCAAAGCTGTCTATTTAAGATTGTTATAAATATATCGTATTTTTGAGTAGATGAGCCATCCTTTATGAATATGTTTATTATATGAATTATGTGGTTCCGTTTCGGTGGTCTAATAGCTAGCAAGTACAACTGCAGATCCGGAGGTCCTGAGTTCGAGTCCCGAGTCGGGATAAGTTTAGTTGTTAAGTTTTTTCTGTTAAGAAATTCTTAGTAACAGCCCGGAGTTGGGAAGTTGGCGGTGTTACATCCCCGAGTCTCGGAGAGTACGTAAGCCCATTGGTCCTACACCTTAATTCTCGTCGTTCGTATCGAAGTATCGTCCTATCGTGTTTGAGAGGGATAGAAATAGAGAGTGCACATTGTGTCTGCGCGTACACTTGTGCACTATAATATCTCCTGCGCAGTTGGCTAGTCTCAATGAGATCATTATATATATATATATATATATATATATATATATAATCCACAATCATAACGAAATCGATGAAAACTATTAAATTAGCGTCAATATAATAATAATAATACGAGTATCAAATAATAAATGTTTTCTACTTACCATAAAACTAACTTTAAAATTTTATAAATAATCGTTTGAAATCACTGCTTCGCTATTTATATATCAATCTATTATTAGTTCGGATCGGAATTCCGTTACATGTGAGATGTTAACGTAAGTGTATAAACACTATTATAAACAAATCTGCTTTTCTGAATAAGTTAATTGTTATGACAGTAAAATAGTACGATGGGATCAAAATATTTTCAAATAAAGCCAATAAAGGTTATGAATGACCTAACCATGTAATTTTGATATCAAAAATTCAGAAAATGCTGTATATTATATCAAATTTACGAACAGAGTTTAATATTTTAAAAGATATATTAATGTGCATTGTGTATTAATTATAATTATTATAAGCAAAGAATTCTTACCTAGATCTTCTAGAAGATACAGGAAATTTTAATGGGCCAGTGGATCTTCTTCTGTCTTTTGAACTAGGAACTGATAGAAAGTATTCATCTTCTGTGTCGGATCCAGGACTATCTAAATTTACCAACGCTGGTGCTGAGCCTCTTCTATTTGATAATATTTTTGGCACATCTAACATGTCTCTCAGAACATCACAGTATTTACAATCTGTAGCTTCTTGTATATAGGCTTTAGTTAATTCGTACGCGTAGTTCTCTAAAAAGCATTTATGACAACCTGCTACGTAATTAGGATCCATATCGGAATCTTCGCTTGGTTCTTTTTCTTGCTTTTTAAGAAATTTCTTCTCCATTTTCTTACAACTTTTATTCTCTATAGTTATCTTCTCTTCTTTATTCTTTACTTCTTTTTCAAGTTCTTTCTGTCTGATCTCTTTTAAGCATTCGGCTTGGTCGTTATAGTATTCGACGCAACGTCGTTCGCTTTTGGACGGTTTGGTCGGACTTTTCTTTTTTAATTTCTTTGTTCCTATGTTTACATTTATAGGTTCTATTCTCAATGATTGCATTTGCTTAATTATATGTTCTTCCACGTAAGGTCGGCCATAAGACGACACTTCGTCCACGGCATTGGCAGTGTTCTGATCGTTAATACTTTTGGCACAAGTATCTCTGTCTTTGTTTCTAATGGCTATTTTATCGTGTTTATCTAACTCTTTGATCTCGCTATCTCCGTTGATTTTATGACCGTTGTTTTTCGTAAACTTTACAGATGGATCGTCGTCGAGACATGTTTCGTAACCATCGATTTCATGATCGATATACAACAGATTGTTTTGTTCCTGGACGGAAACTCTTGCGGTTGCATCGTAAAAACTCGCGGTATCGTCCGTCGGTGAATTAATAGATTCCTTCCAACTTTCGTCACTTTTTGTTTTATCTTTGTTTATATCACATTCTTTCCAATATTTTTCGAAGCTAATTCTCTCTAAGCCAGTTGGCGTTACAGCAAAAACCATTTCGTCTGAAGTTGAAAGATCTTTACTTTGCTGTTTTGATAACGTTCTTTCATCTGCCCCCTTTCTATCAGCTGACTTGCTTCTAATAGTTAGTTCTCTAGGACCGAGCAAAACATCATCTTCTGTCATAGTCATATCATCGTCCAAAGACTCGTCTGATTTTGACGATTTTAAATCTGCTACACCGTTAACTTTTTCTGCTTCAAGTTTAATATCTGTAGCAATTTCACCATTTCTATTTAAACCGTCTTTTTTGCAATCGTCATAGCTTATGTCAGCTAAAACAGATAACTCCTCATCTTTTATAGACGACTCTTCAGGCTCTAAACATATTTGCACTACTTCCAAACCTTCACCATATTCTTGTAAGCATTCATGAAAGGAATCCATTCCAGTGTGATCGTCTGATGCCAGCGAGTTTATACATTCCTAGAGACAGAAAAATATATAAAATAAGTAAGTTACAATACTCGTTTTATCAAATTTTATAGTCGCACTGAAGTATGTTGTAGTGGTTGCGCATCAACATTACTACTAAAATAGCAATTTGTATCCGCGCGTACCATAGACTAGTTATTTTGACAACTATATTACAGAGCAACATAAGTACTATCATAATTATATTCTATATATCATATAGTTTTCGAAAAACGTGTGAAGTCATCCAACCCGCACTTAGCCAGCGCGGTGGACTATGGTCTGATTCCCCCCGTACTGAGGGTAAGTCCACCCCTAGCAGTGGGGCGTTAAAAAGAGCTAAATACAAATCGTATAGTAAGAAAACACGAATTATTTTTTTAAACATTTATTTTAGCACACAACATAGCATTCCAAATAACATCCAGGTTTTGACCTTAAAGCAACATCAAAAATATTCGCCATCGATCAACAACTACGTAATTTACAATAACCTATTTAACTTTATTCTTACAATTAAACTAAATTTATATAGTTTGTATAACTAGATACAGAAATTTAAAATTACATGAAAAAATACCCGTTAACATAAAATCTAAAAAATGTTTTGTTAAAAATAGTAAATACATTTTTCACAATTAACAAATTCATTTAAAATATGTCAATAGAAGTAAAAAAAATATAATTCTATAAAAATAACATAAATTTTTTTGTGCAATAATTATTTTTATTATTCATAAATTACATCCTCATTTAACGCCATTAAAACCACTGAAAAAAAGATTATATATGAAACCGACGCAAAAAGAGGGGTGTTATAAGTTTGACGTATCTATTTGTGCATTTGTGTGTCTGTACGTGGCATCGTCGCTCCTACATGAATGGACCAATTTTGATGCGATTTTTTTTGTTTGAGACGTGATCGAGATAGTTTTTAGCTATAATTTATTAGTAGGTAATGCAATCAACAGTAATGCAACTAGAGAATAGCTGTATGTAATTATAAATAAAAAATTATTTCACTCGCTCATATCATGAGATTTAAAAAAAACTTATTTTAGTTAAAAAAATCTTTTAATATTCTTCTATACAAAGCATGTCCTGACAATAACAAACATAAAAAAAAGAACTATCCAATTTAGTGCAGTCGATCCGAAGTTATGAGCGTACGTACATACATTTCAGTGATTCATTTTTATTTATGTAGATTTTTCATTTTAAATAGTCTGGCTAAGGTTTTAATAGGAAAAAAAGGAAAAGTTGACCGGAAATTTTAGGAAAAACTGAGTGCTTTTTATATCTATAGGATTTTTGTATTAATTCAAAGACTAACAAATAATTGTTCAACCTTAGACAAGACAATAACTGTCGGATTCTGGTCTTAATAACTAACTTTATTAATTATTTATATCTAATTATAATAATAGCTTTGGACATATGCAACAATTTTACTTATTTGTAAACTTTATAACATTAATATCTAATAAGTAACATCTTAATCACTTATCACTCTATGATATGTTTTGGAATTACCTGTAACATTATATTATTATTGTTATTTTTATTATATTTTTTCATTTTCTATAATTTTTATTATATTTTTATTTTTTTGGGGTTAACGCGTTTTTAAGAATACTTATTTTGTCTTATAAATGAATTAGCAACATGACGATGAAGCTACGTTTCTTTATATCATGGTTAGAAGCAGAAGTCAAAATGTCTATCTAATAGATTTTTGAGCGCAACATAAATCGTATTTCATTGTTTTTAAAAAAATGTGATGAAATTTATTTATTATATATAATTGTAACTTTATTTTATTACTTATTGTTTTTTTTTATTATTATTATTTTTTATATAAAAAATATAAGTAAGCTGTCCAGCATATTATGCTTATAATAGTTTTTTTTTTTTCAAAATTTCTCATTACTTTAGCGTTTTATATGAATTATTTATTTACTTATACATATAATATAATAAATATTAAAAATAACACCCATCTACATTATCACATTGAAAATTGACTACACACCAATTGCTACGTTCTATACACAACCAATCATAAGTTACATTTTAATTGAGACAATTTGGCAGGACATCCAATAAGCCTTATAATAAAAACATTATATTTATTATAATATAATAACAATACACAAATATTTTATCTATACATATAATATAATTCTAACTTAGTCGAATGTCTAAATTAAATATTTTTTGGAAAATCTAATTGAAACAGTCATTATTATCGATACACAGGCCGAATCTATAGATTTTTAAATCTATAGTTTTTAGAATTTTTGTCTGTCTGTCAATCTGTCTGGGAATCACGAGAAAACTACTGGACAGATTTTGATGAAATTTGGTATGATGATAGCTGGTTATCCAAGTCAATATATATATAGGATACTTTTTACTTCGTAAAAATATCTCATCTCTGAGAAATCATTGGGACGAATCCGAGCGGAACGAGGGTGAGTCGCCAGTATACATATATATGTATTTATTATAAAATTATTTAAAAACTTACACATTAATTATTTCAAAGAATATTTATTTATATTACGAAATATGGGAATAAGAAAAACAAGGAAAGGTCAAACAAATATCTAGTTCTAAGGACACTATAAAGATTTTCGTTGAAAAACGATGTAATGGAATAATAAATGGAATTATGTTTTTCATTATTTTTTCGAATTAATTAAATATTATACTTAAAATAAAATAACTGAATAAATATATCATACATTTCAAATATTAACAATAATAATATTACAGTGTTTATTTGTAACTAGTTTTTTCAGAGAAATCCAAAAAAATATTTTTACTTTTCGTTATCTTTTGTCGATATCTACGATTATAAGCATCCACAATTAAAATTAAGTACCCCCGAAATCAAACTATCCCTCGATAATGGTTTATAAACACTTTGGGCTATAATATTGTGCAAATAACCATACGTGCGAAGAATCAATAACCATATTATGTATAATGTAGATGTTGTGAAAGTACACTAATGACAGACAGATTTCATAAAGCTACTTCAATTTTATTTAGAAATATCTTTTGTCCGCAAAAATGGATATGTATTGTCCGTACTCGAATACTCATACTGTGTACCAATTTTCATGAACAAAGTACAAGTTGATGCTCAGTAGCGCCATCTCATGGTCATTTTTAGCACAAGGGATAGATAAAAACTTATTGATGGCGAACATCGAAGCAGTGTAAAATTTTGAAATTCGTCAGAAATTAAATTATTTTGCTGTTTTCACTTTCAGTTTTTACACTACTTTTGTGATCGAACTATTTTACATTTACAATGATACTATTACAATAAAAACTGCGAGTCTTAATAATATGTTGTTCATAAGCAAAAAATATTAATTTTCATTAAAAAGAACGACATGTACACTCAATATACCTATGATTTTGTAATCCACATTTAATATATGCACTGAATGGGAACAAAACCTGTGACCTTTCCTCGTAACATTCGACAAATAATTCAACTATCTGCCTCACCTAACTCCATACTAACAAAGCAATAGATACGTCGGTCTTGTCATTTCAAAAAGATTTCTGCTTTTATCTTCGGTGGAACTCGGAATGGCGAGTCTATCACTTCTTGACACTGCAGTCGAAGTTCCATAATATCACGATGTAAGGACATTATAAGACGAAGTATTTTAGTAAAATATTCCAACCTCTGGAAAAAGAAAAAATACAATTATAATAATTTTAAGTATTTGTATTGAGTTCATCAAATTAAAAGCACTCAATTCGGTTAAAAGGCTAAATTTTTAGTTTAAGCTATATTTCTAAAACTACGAGAGTAATAATACAACTTTATAATATCGTTTTGTTTGTTGTTTTTTTTTACAGTACACAATAAACGAGGTGAGTATTTTATCTTTTTAGCTAAGCAAGTTGTAGGTATTAAAAATATTAAAATTATTCTAGATATAGTTAACCCATTGACAAAGTGGAATATGTATGATATATGAAAAAAATATAAAGAAAACGATTCAGTCCGAAAATTACTTTAAATCGGCATAATATAGTGTATTTATTATATAGATTTTAGCCGATGGTAATCAAAATTAAGGTTGCCAATTGAACTTACAATATGAAGTAAGATTTTTAGTGGTTTAATGCTTATAATTGAAAAAATTTTTTTTTGATATTTAATGTTGCGCAGTTGGCAGCCCTGATTATGATTTTTAAAGCATGCAAAATTTATTGTACACTAAAGGGAAAATGTCATACAAAAAATAATAAAAAATATCCAAAATAAACAAAATAAAATCTTAGAGCGGTAATTTTATTCCCTTTATTGTACAAAAAAATGCATATTAAATAAAAATGCATGCATAATTTTCATAAATACTGCTCTAAGCGGAAATAAAAAGCTTAAAGATAAATAAGACTTACTTTATATTTTCCCCTCAGTGTACAATAATCACAACACTTATGACACTTGAAAAATAATAATTTAACAATACGCATATAAATAGTGATTATTATTACGAGAATTATTTTTCAATAATTATTTTTTAGAATAGGTATTTACAATAAAGTAAAAACAGTTATTTAAATTATAGACAAACTTGCTTGTATTATGTCATATTTACGGGAAATTAGTATTTTTACTAATACAATAAAAATATTTCAATAACTTATTATTATGTATCAAACAGAAACCCCTGACATATTTTATTGAATAACTAAAACATAACCCATAAAAAAATAACTATAATTATTATTATAACATCAAAATAACCAATACACAAATGAATTAAATTTAGATTATTTGCGTTATTTTATAATAACCTTTTATATAGAACCTAACTTTGGTTTACGATGCTTTAGAGCAAGCATGGTCACGGGAGAGTCCCTTACTATAAAATTTTTAAATTATACCGCGACCAAATAAGAAAAGAGAGTTTCATTTAAAATGTTAAATATTCGCCTAAATCTAAAAAAGTAATTTTAGTTGTACCAACCTGACTACTTTGCATGCTGTGTCCATTCGCCTTCTCGCCCCCGACCACTGTGCTACAAGGGAGTGGCTTTGCGATGCCGATTGTAACGACTCCTGAGGGGAAAATATTAAATATATATTTACGTTCTGAATACATTATTCATTAATTTTGACGACACGTTTGGCTCAGTTTGTAGTACCCTACTTGCTGTGCCAGCGGTCGCGGGTTCGAGTCCCGGTGGGGCCATTCATTTGTGTGACGAGCACGAATGTTTGTTCTCCAGTCATGGATGTTTATATGTATAATAATTATGTATATATTTAAAGTTATATATGTGTAGTGTATAAACTACCTAGTATCCATAACACAGGCCTCGTAGCTTACCATGGAACTGGATGGTGCTGTGTGTTAATGTCCCAACATATTTATTTATTAGCTTTATGACTATATTTAATACAAAAAAAACGTGTTTGTGTACTTATGTACGCACGTAAGAAACACACGTTTGGTGTAACAGAACAAAAATAGCTAAAGATTTCATCCCGTATGTCACAAGTCTTTGTAAAAGGAATGATATAAAAATAAATATTTTTTTTTATCTCCACTTATATAAAATACGTGTTATAGATTTATGTATATTTGAGAAACTACTTTAAATATTGAGTTTTCACGGAAACCGGAGGAACAGTTATCAGCTAATTTTATCATGTCGCTTTTTGGCTGTCGGTGTGCGCGCGTATTGTTTTCCAAACGTGCCAAAAGAAGTATAACTTATAATTTCAAAATTATTATGCTTTGTTTGTGTAAATGATTTATTCCATACATCTCCATATAAGAAAAAACTATATTCATCAAAATTCCCTGTTTATAAGTTTCATTTGTTTTGTCAATTATCGCAACATTTTCCGTCAAAGGAAGACTGACAAACAGACAGATATTTATAATATTAATGTTAGTATGGGTTTATTACGAAATATTGCCAGCGGTCTTCTATCATCACGGAAGTGAAAAATATTTTTTTATCAACCGTGTCTCTAACTCATATAAATATCACAACGACCAAGTGGAAGTCATCGAAATACATAAGTACATGTAGTCATACATAAAAATGTATGGCTATTACGATTCTAGGTGCATATCTATACATATGATAAAATTGTAACTCAGCCGAATCTGTACATTAAATATTTTTTTGGAAAATCTTATTGAAATAGACATTATTATGATACAGAGACCTGTCTGTCTGTCTGTCTGTAACTGCATCACAGAAAAACCACTGAAGGGATTTTAATGAAATTTGATATGGTGATAGCTGGTTATCCGGTTCTACATATAGGATACTTTTTACCGCGGGAAAATATCTAATTTCTGAGAAAAAATACAAAAACTGCATTGTAGGAGTATGCTAATATGTAAAACCTAAGAATTTGCTTTTTCATCATCTGAACACGGGCGGAGCCGCGGACAATACTAGTAATCTATATAAAACGTACCTAACGCACCCGAGCAAAGTGAAGACAAGTCGCTAGTCTATCTATACATATAATAAAATTCTGACTGAAATGAATCTGTACATTAAATAGATTTTGGAAAAACTTATTGAAATAGTCATTATAATCGATACAGAGGCCGAATCTATAGTTTTTAGAATTTTTGTCTGTCTGCCTGTTTGTCTGGTAACGCATCACGAAATAGCCACTAGACAGATTTTAATGATATTTGGTATGATGATAGCTGGTTATCCAGGTCAACATATAGGATACATTTTACTGCTGGGAAATATCTCATCTCTGAGAAATCTTTACTAACCAATACTGTTAAAACACCTATAAAAAGACGCACCTGAGGACAGCAAAGGCAAATTGTAAATTTTATATTAAAATTTTGATTATATTTTTCAGGTTTCCAATTTTCCCTTACAAATACACCATTTATTGTATATTTTCATTAACACAAGAAAATCACACCTCACACGATCACTGTTTTATCTTGAAATGTAATAAAGTTAAACATTCTTTAATTGTTCTGTTAGTTTACTTTTATCGTGATAAGATAGTTACATCTTAGTAGTAATATATTTGTTGTTATTTGAAGAGCTCGTTCGAAAATTTTCCTACTAAATACTATTTACTTTTTAAAACACTAACAAAAAATAAAATAATATATGCCATATAAAATATATAAAATAACATATCAATACTTCCATACTTTCCATACTAATCTATACATATAATAAAATTGTAACTAAGTCGAATCTGTACATTAAATATTTTTTTGAAAATCTTATTGAAATAAACATTATTATCGATACAGAGGCCGAATCTATAATTTTTAGAATTTTTGTCTGTCTGTCTGTCTGTCTCTTACTGCATCACAGAAAAACCACTGGAGGGATTTTGATGAAATTTGGTATGGTGATAGCTGGTTATCCGGGTCAACATATAGGATACCTACTTTTTACCGCGGGAAAATGTCTCATTTCTGAAAAAAAATACAAAAACTGCAATGTTAGAGTATACTGATATGTAAAACCTAAGAGTTTGGTTTTTTGTCGTCCGAACGCGGGCGCAGCCGCGGGCAATGCTAGTAAATTAATAAAAAACCATTTCAATAAAGAATTCATTTCAACCTAAAAAAACTTTTAAAATGACTTCAAAATCTAACAATAAGTTGTTCATAAACAAATCTAAGTTTTAAAATAAAAACCAACCTTAACTGGCACGCTTTTAAGCCATTAACAAGAAAATTAAATTGAATTGAAATTTAACAATTCAATTAATAACATGAGGACTATATTATATTAATTTTATTAACTATACGAGTAGGTACTTTAGATTAGGTTTAATTGAACTCATCCACATGGATATCACTATATTTCAATTCAATTCAATTATTTTATTTAGTGACTTCTAAGAGTGCCATTTGGGCACAGTTTCCTTTGCCAATGTCACGTAAAAATCACTATATTTCACTATATTTCAGTTAAAAATCTCAAAACTTACCTAACAATAAAAAAACGTAAATAAAAACCTTGTATCGTTACCAAAATTCAACGCAAAATTGAGTATGAAAACGTTTCACATCACATATAAAATATACCTTTCTTAAAGCAGTTTACTATTAAACTAACAAAACACTGTTAAAGTAAAATATTGGTGTTTAACAACTATTTATATCTCATTGTTTGCTGTAAATGAGTGTTTGGAGTAGATTTTAAAGTAGCTTTAACGGTATTGTGACTAGGTGCAGTACTGTAGCATCTTATATATTGATCGTCACAGGTTCGATTTTTAAGATTAAAAATTTAAAGAAACTCAGCTTATGAATATAGAAAATGGCACTATTATGTATAGTACTTGTATACTCATGCGTAAAATTATAGATTAGACATTTCATACAGCAGAGATATCTTTTGCAAAAAAAGGTCTAACACATCGTTATGCTACTCTACGTGCTACTATATCCATACTAATATTATAAATGTGAAAGTATGTTTGTTTGTTTGTCTTTCTTTCACGTCGAAACGGCTTGGCGGATTTGCGTGATTTTTTGTGTCGAGATAGTTGGAGGGCTGGAGAGTGACATAGGCTACTTTTTACCGCGGGATATATCTTTTTCCCACAAGAAAACACGTTATAATACAATCTAAAAAAATATTTATGATCAGAATTACAAGAAACTTGGTATAAATACTCTTCAATACAATTAATTAAATACGTTTTTTAGTATTTTCTGAAATTCATCCCATAAAGGGGTAAAATAGCGGATTAAAGTTTGTATGAAAACTACAATTTTAGAGTTTTTTTGTAGTTTTAGCGCGAATGAAGCCGCGGGTTCTGCTAGTATACAATAAATAAATATATTAGGACATTAACACACGGCACCATCTAGTTCCATGGTAAGCTACGACGCTTGTGTTATGGATACCAGATAGTTGATACATAACTTTAAATACATACATGTTATAAATATAAACAACCATGACTGGAGTACAAACATTCGTGCTTATCACACAAACGAATGCTCCGAGCGGGACTCGAACCCGTGACCGCTGCCATAGCAAGTAGGGTCACTACAAACTGAGCCAAACGTGTCGTCGATATGTTATAATCCTCAAAATTTTGAAGTAGCAAGACTCTGTAAAAGTTTACCGAAAGAAATTAGATGTAAGTAAGATTGTAGAAGATATAAGCTTTTCCAAAGAATAAAGATGTAAATAGAATACACTGGCGAGTGGCGACTTATCCTTACTTCGCTCGGGTGGGTTTTGTATTTTTAATATTATATAACACATATATCTATAAATAAATGGCACAGCAAGTACGGTAGCGCTACAAACTGAGCTAAGCATGTCGTCTATCCAGTTAGCTTCATCTTTTAGGTTTTATTACTACAACAACAAAAGGTAAGAGATGCGCTGGACTGAAGCCGGTGGAGGCAGATCATCCGCTCCAGATGCAACCCTAACACTGGCCACGATCCTCAGACATGAGGGACCGACCCCAGAGAGAGATTACTACCAATATACACACACAGACACACGTTCACATGAATATTAATTATGTAATTTATTAATTACCTTTAGGTGCACTTTTAATAGCTCTCACTGCGACAGCCAGTGGACTCCTCGACACGTCCAGCCCGTTGACGGACACGAGGCGGTCGCCGGGCGCCAGGCGGCCGTCGCGCGCCGCCGCGCCGCCGCGCACCACCGACCGCACCACGATCACTGAGCTACCAGGCTCGGATGGATCCTGAGGAGGTTGTGTCATGTAAGTTACCTGTTACACTATGTATGTATACTGTATATCTTAATATATATAATTCTTCTGTACGTGTATTTGTGTTTGTTAACCTACTCCTCCTAAGGGCTAGACCGATTTGGATGAAATTTTGTGTGTATGTTTTCATGGGTTCCTGGATGGTTTGAAAACAATTGGACCCGGTATTGGCGCTGCAGTCGGTATGTCACTAAATTTTCTTAAAAGACTCCATTTTCCGTGCTATCAATAAATTTAAATTGTTGATTAAATAAAATAAAAATCGATGTGTGTATGTAATTTTCCTATGAACTCTAAACATCTGGAGCGATTTTGATGAAATTTTCAGGTAATCTTCAGATTAGCCGAGCGGGTGAATCCTGTGAATTTTGTTAGCTATCGGGAGTTTGGACGCGGGCGAAGCCGCGGGTACTGCTATTATGTGTATAAATCTATACATTATTAAAATGAAATTGTAACTAAGCTGAAATTTGTACATTAAATATTTTTTGGAAAATCTTATTGAAATAAACATTATTATCGATACAGAGGCCGAATCTATAGTTTTTAGAATTTTTCTCTATTTGTCTGTCTGTTATCGCATCACGGAAAAACCACTGGAGGGATTTTGATAAAATTTGGTATGATGATAACTGGTTATCCGGGTCAACATATAGGATACTTTTTACTGCGTGAAAATATCTAATTTCTGAGAAAAAATACAAAACTTCAATGTAAGAGTATACTAATATGTAAACCCTAAGATTTGGGTTGTTGGTCATCTGAACGCGGGCGGAGCCGCAAGCAATGCTAGTATGTATATAAATATTGTACTGTATTGACAGTTGTATTACAAACCAGTTATACGCTAGTGCAGTGACAAGCCACTACCGTCTGGAAACAATATAATTAACGTAAATTGGTGATATTATTACCTCTTTTTAATAGATTTATGTTTAAGTTTAATTAAATACCGCGTATGAATCCGCAGTGCACGCGAAAATCATACATGGTTTTTGTTGCGCTGTTGGTGTTTAGATTTGTGTTTTAAAAAATGTAATAAAAACATTTAAATAAATAAATAAAAATAAAATATCATAAAGCATGTTTTATACGTGTTACTTTAAATATAGGCGTTTCACACTCAAATATATGTACTAACCAAATAGTCCAATATCGAAAACCCTAAGCCTCTATCTTCTTTTTGCAGCTGAATATATTCAACTTGATCACTCCACATCGCCAGACCACTCAGCGGTTCCAACGACCTCGACCTGTTCCTTTCCAGATCATCTGAACAAAATTCTGCAAAGAAAAAATGTTTTAGTGTTAAATATGAGAAAATGCTTACCTAAAGTAATGGGAACTGCCTAATATAAACTGAGAAATAATTAGCATATATCCACTCTTCAGGAATCAATTATTTGTAGCAGAGTTAAAGAAGGATAAACTACACCCTACTGTTCTTTTTCCTACTAACCCTACTAATATTATAAAGGGGAAGTTTCTGATGTTGGATGGCTGGATGTTTGTTACTATTTCTCGCAAAATATATTGAACGAATTTTGATGAAACTTCACAATAATACAGCTGATATATCAGAATAATATAATATATGCTATATTTTTTAAAGATATAGTAATATATAATCAAACCAGGTTCTGCGGGAAGACGATATAAAGACAATATATACTATGTGTAGGCCATAATGTTTCAGGGTATAAGTATCGTAACGCAGCTTAAAATAATTGTGAAAAATGGACGAAGGAAGTAAAAAAGTATGGCTAGATCTCTGCAAATACAACAAACTGCGAATTGCATTGAGGCCTTACGCACAAAGTCAGACGCGGATCTACAGTTAAATGTTGGGGTTGATGTTAATCAAACATATTATAAATAATAAATTCATAATTAAACAACAAATTCTTAGAAATCTTGAAATATTTTCAAAGAAATATTTCATTTGTAATAAAAAAAAAAATTTTTTTAGTAATTATTACCAAGAATTCCGGATTACAATCACACACACTACTCTTGCAATGTGAGATTTCTGTCAGTAATCAAACTTCTTAACAAAATATATTTGGTTTGGTCATGAACCCCATGACCCTCTCCTTAGATTCCCAAAGTACCTATTTATAATATGAGCAAAGAACCTATATATAATATGATTACAATATTAGGTGTACCAAAAGTCCATGTATCTTCAGTACACATTATTTCTTCATACTTAATAACTTACCATCGTGATCATGTCCCGCGGATAGCACGGTAGCAGCACTGCACAGAGACGCGACCGAACTCTCCGATTTCGCCTTAATCAGTCGTTGTGGTGGCGCTAGCAGGTCCTGTAAACTACCCCCCACTACCCCACTCTGGAAACAAATGCTTTGTTGTTATAGAAAGTATTTTAAGGGTTGAACTCTATTTAAAACAGATTTCAATTTACAAATTGTTTTTTTCTTTAATTCATTTTAGAAATTTAACGTAATAAAAAAAGACTACTCAGTAAATGTATTTTAGACTGAATGATTGTAGGAAATATATTAAATTAATGTCAGTAATATCTTCGTCTTAGTACATTCTCCCTTATATATATATATATATATATATATATATATATATATATATATATATATATATTGAACAGACAACCAAAAAAACAGCTTTTCATCAGAATGGCTGTTCATCAGAATTATCTAAATTCTAAGTAAAACAGTCGCACGTTCATCGTTTACTTCTTATTTTACCGACTCGGTAATATATTGGTTTTTAATAATTTACAACAAAGAATATTTATAAAATTCTTTCTTTAGCATAAAATCATAACAATTTTTCACTAAATGTTTAACCAGAAAAATTCTCACTCTAGAAGAACTGACGACAAAAAATTAGCAGGAATAATGGTAATTTTCTTTTCATTTTTGGATCCAACATCAATTCCAAGTTATGTTATGTAGATTTAAAGACCTATTTCAAATATTGTTATACGACTATAAATTAACTTACCCTCGAAAAGCTAGAATCGAGCCGTATGTCTGCATCGCTTCGCTTTCTCACGACCACCAACAGTACCGGCGACTTGACCGCGCGCAGTCTCGTCACCACCTCTACGTGATGCGCTCCTAGTACGCGCCAGCCGTTAACCTGTTATTGTATATTGGCTTTAACAAACATAATACAGTTGGATCACTATTACAAGGTTCTATGTTACAATTTTATTACTTATTTAGTCATTAATGCTACAAGATTCTATGTGTCATTAGCTACAGTTTTGCAAAAACAAACCACTAGATAGCGGCACTTTAACTACAAAGTATTCAATTTTACATAGTTCTATGTAGTTTTTTACGATAACAAAATAACGAAGTTATATGTAAAAATTACTAAACTTCATTAAAATTAACATAGAACCTTGTAATAGTAAGCCAACGAATTATTATGTAGAATGTAGATAGATATGTAGATATGTTGGGAAATTAACACACATCACCATCTAGTTCCATGGTAAGCTACAAGGCCTGTGTTATGGATACCAGATAGTTGGTACACTACACATATATAACTTTAAATACATACATATTATAAATATAAACACTCATGGCTGAAGTACAAACATTCGTGCTCATTACACAAAATGAACGCCCCCAGCAGGACTCTAACTTCTTTAAACGACACATTTGGCTCAGTTTGTAGTGACCCTACTTGCTGTGCCAGCGGTCGCGGGTTCGAGTGCCGCTGGGGTCATTCATCTATGTGATGAGCATGGATGTTTGTAGTCCATACATGGGTGTTTATATTTATAATATTTACCTATGTATTTAAAGTTATATAGGTGTGATACATCAACTATCTGGTATTCATAACACAAACCTCGTAGCTTACCATGGAACTAGAAGGTGTTGTGTGTTTATGTCCCAACAAATTCTAACAAATTTCTACGTATAGATAAGACATACTATAATCACGGTTTATTTTAATTTATTTATTGCTTTATATTTCGATAAATTTAGGATTTAAAGAGTTTTAAATAACTTCTTAACAAAGAAAAGACTAACCTCTAACAACTCATCTCCCACTTTATACAAGGCCAGCTTAGCAACAGGACTGTTGGGCGCGATCGCTCTGATGTAATGACGGGCCTGCACTTCTTTCCCGGCGACCACTCGCACTGTGCCTTCGAGGGAAATACCTAGCCCACTGTCTTTCCCTTTCATTATAGTGCCGACCTGAAAATGTCATAAAATTTATTTAAATTAATGATTCAGAACGTTTATTGAGTAAATGCCTTATAAATTTAGGGTATCTTGAGTCATAATTTATGTTTTCATCTAATTTTAAATAATTGAAGCAAAATTTTGATTGATTAATATATATACAATATAAATATTTCCTTCTCGAGATAAGTATAATAACTATGATGGACTATTAAATATTAATTTAAATGTAATATTGAAATTTCAATATTTTCCATTCAGATAATTTCGAAGAAATAATGTGTGGACGGACAAACATACATATAGATAAGGCAGCCTATATATTAATTAGCTTTTAACTCCTATATTTTACGAATAGGAAAGTAGCACAACGTCGACATGCTCGTAAGAAATATATAAAGATTCCATCTCATATCTCCTTATATAAACTCCTCTGGCTTTTAGTAAAAATCCTCACACAATCGGTTAGGCTGTAAAAAGATTATGCACGACAAATTTCTATTAGACAGACATACAAAAAATTAAAAAGGCAGTTTAGATACTGGTATCATATAAATAACTCTATGTACTAGGGAAAAAATAGTTGTTTTAAGTTACAGACAGACACTTCAAGTTTACATATTTATATGTATAGATGCGAAATCCTACATACGAGTATGTCTAACTCAAAAATTGTCCCACAATTTATCACCATTTGTTTCGCATTTGGTCCTGCATTCCTTGTATAGCGGACTACTATAATTATAAATGCGAAAGTTTGTTTGTTTGATTTTTTACTCCTTCACGCTGTAACGGCTGGACGGATTTGGATGAAATTTATTGAAGTTAAAACTTCTATAGGTAGGTTTGGGATGGGGAGTAAAATGTAAGTCGTCATCGACATGGTCACGTGACGTGTTAACGCTAACACTCAGAGTGCCGATAGATGTCCAAACCATATAAATGTAAACAGTTTTAATTTACAAATTTTAATTTAAGATCAAACAATTAATTTGAATATCCAAAAATAACAACTGTTTGTTTAAAGTTTTAAGTTTTCGCTTCTGTCGGCAGTCCTCGGGACTGCTTTTTTTTATACAGATAGACTACAACCCGGAGTAGGAGTAGAACTTAAGACTTCTGTTAGGCACCTAGAGACTCACAAAAACGAAGCGAGGGTTACGCGCTAATCGTTATATAAATTCTAATAATCCAAAAAAAACCACTCACAATAATATCATATTGAAATTGATGTCCCGGCCAGTCGGGTTCGTCCCGCAATATGTCCCGCCATTTATCCTGTATTCGTCGTATCTCACGTTCCGATATATCGTCGTCCCGACCGATGACTATCTCGGCTTCGTCGGACGGGGATGTCGGGGACGGCAGATGACGATCGACTTCTGATTCTGGCTCTGCTTCTATGACTGTTGATTCGTCGTACTGTGGGATATTAAGATTAATGTATTCGAAACTAGGCGACCGAGCTTCGCTTGGCGCTCGTTCAGTAGGTTATCATCCATTAGCGACAATGCAAGTACCACAAACATCTACGAGATGGCGCTATGTGACATTGTCAATATGAAATCAGATAGAAAATGGCTCTTAAACTAACTAGTTATAAAAAACGTTTTTGTTAACCAAAAATTAGTTTTTACATCAAAGATATATAAATAAATTTAAAAAGAAAAACCTTATCAAAATACAAAATTTCATCTAAATCGTTTTACCAGTTTCCGAGATATACGAAATAAAGTTATACATATGTGTATCTATATACGAGAATTGCTCATTTAATATTATAAGATAATACAATTATTAATGTGTTGTTTATTAATTTATTTTAATAAATATATCAATCTATTTGTTCTCGAATATTTTTTGACAATTTTCGTTTAAATCCGATACTTTTACCATCACTTTTTAAATGATAGACTAATTTTTCAGAATATTTGTCTCATCGCAGAATGTTTAAGGTTGCACTCATTTTTTGGAGTGCTTAACATTTTTTTAAATAACTATTTATGATTAGCATGATATTTTACTGTATAGAGAGCAATTTTTCAAAAGCAATCTGATAACATTAAAACCTTATCAAGTCAAAAACTCGCAACCACCCTTAACATGACCTATCTTAAATATTGCACGATTAAATTAAAATTTAAAGAAGTAATTAGAAGCATCAATTAATCAAAAGTACTGAAACTTACCACACTAAAACTATATTTGGCAAGCGATGTAACAGAAGGGCTAGGGGGGGCTATCGGTGACCTACGTCCGTCTTGCGCCGCGAGCGCCTTTTGCAGTCTTTCAAACCCCGCGCCACGCAGATACCTACAATTTAATTAGTTTTATAGTAAAACTAGCAGAACCCGCGGATTCGCTCGCGCTAAAACTACAAAAAATGGTTTTGATACAAACTTTCATACGCTATTTTACCCCTTTATATATACCCAAGGCATTTGGCTGTCGGTCTAAACGCGATGACATCAAAAACTATTGAACGAATTTTCGTACGGTTTTCACCAATAGATGAAGTGATTCATGAGGAAGGTTTAAATGTATAATTCATTGAGGTTTTATGCAAAGTGGCTAAAGTATTGGCAAATATTATAGTGGCTGAAATATTGGGAAAGTGGCACGCACCGCGTAAACTTATAATTAAGGTTATATGAAAACAATGGATAACGGAATTATTCCTCTCTGAAAGATCTACGATCTCTATGACGACACATTTGACTCAGTTTGTAGTGACTCTACTTGCTGTGTCAATGGTCGCGGGTTCGAGTCCCGCTGGGGGCATTCATTTGTGTGATAAGCACGAATGTTTGTACTCTAGTCATGGGTGCTTATATTTATAATATGTATGTATTTAAAATTATTATATGTGTAGTGTATCAACTATCTGGTATCCATAACACAAGCCTCGTAGCTTACCATGGAACTATATGGTGCTGTGTGTTAATGTCCCAACAAATTTATTTATTTATTATTATCTATTAAATTGTCGTAACGCTATGTACATACCTAGGGACGCACCCAAGCAAAAAAAAGGTTAATTCGTGAGTTATAAATAAAACTGTATACAAAAGTCGAGGAATAAAGATAAAAGTATCAAAGGAACACACCTCAAAGCTTTTAATCGAACAATGGGTCCCCTGGCGTCACGAAGTAGAGCGACCGCCCTGTGGTTCGTAACCCCATGTAGAGATACTCCGTCAACCTGAAAATTAAATTTTCTTACTATATTTTAAAGTTTATTTAACCAATTATTTTAAATAAGCAATTATTTTTAGGTATGTTTTAATTTTTTTGAGTGGAACCCTAATTCTTTACCTTATGTTACTCCCTATAACATCTGCTATCTTCCAGTGAAATTCTCGTGAAAATCAGTCCAGCCGTTTCAGACATTATCCGGAACAAACAGACAGATAGACAAAATTTAAAAAAATGAGGTTTTTTTATAAGTACCGAATAGAATTTCATATGCTATTTTGACATATGCATATGTTATTTTGACATTACAAACAGACACTTCAATTTTATTTATCTGCATAGACTAGAGGCTCAGATACGTTTTAAGAGTTAGTATAGATAGACTATATATACATAGATATGATGAGTTGTTGTGGGTTGTATTATAACGTGTTTTCTCATGGGAATGAGATAATCTCCCGCCGTAAAAAGTAGTCTACGACACTCTCCACTCCTCCAACTATATCATTCTCTTTCGAAGTAAAAGAAGGACAAACAAATACACTTTCACATTTATAATATTAGTATGAAAGTATGGATTAAAAACGTGTAAAAATAGTACATTCAGGAAAAAAAATATTATTAACTAACGATACTTCACTAAAGACTTAGGTAACGAAATTACATATAAAATATTTAGTCTTACCACTTCAAGTGTTTCTTGTTTCAATAAGATATTCCAAAAAATATTTAATGTACAGGTTCGACTTAGTTAGAATTTTATAATTTTATATTGTATAAAAAACTTCGTTTTCGTTCCTAAATTAATCTGACAACAGAGAAAAATCAATACAATCTATAATGACCTACTCAAGAATAGAACTTGCGAGTTTGAGCTAATATGCGACTTTTTGTGTTAAAAGTAAATAATCGATTTTTAATTTTAGTACTTATTTCTATAAAAAGTTGCTAAAATTTTACTTTATAGGTGAATAATAAAAGAATAGAATTGCAAGGATAATAGACAATAAAGAGTCCGCATGCGAAATAGACGTTACGAGGTCGCACAGACGTGACGCTTAGCATTAATTGTAAGTAAGGTTAGCATAAAATTATATGGTATTTTAACTGTAAGTCTAAGCTCTAGCGTATACGCAAAACCAAATATTAGAATACAAATTTTATGAAATTTTATATCATTTACATGTGAACGTAATATTAACAGGATACAATTTTCATTAAGTAAATTAAACATATGTATGTATATAATATATACGATATATGTATATATACTATATGATGATGTTCTCCTGACCGATTCCGGCCACGGCGGCCAATCTCATAGAGACTAGCTACTCGTAACTGCGTATGAGATATTATAGTGCACAAGTGTACGCACAGACACAAGTGCACTCTCTATTCCTGTCACTCTCATACTCCGGTAGGACGACCACTCGACACGACCGGTGAGAGTTAAGGCGCAGGACCGACGGCTTTACGTGCTCTCCGAGGCACTGCGGTGAAACACCGCCAACTTCCCAACTCCGGGCTGTAACTGAGGCTTGCTATACAGAAAGACTCGATAACTAAACTTGGTCCGACCCGGGACCCGAACCCAGGACCTCCGGGTGTACAGCCGTACATGCTAGCCACTACACCACCGAGGCAGTTAGGGTGAAAATATACTATATATACATATAACGTACAATCTAAAATGTAACATTGTTTTTGCTACATTAAAACATCGAATGAGGCATAAAATTATAAATGCCACAAAATTAGCATTCAAGAGTCACTAATTCATAACAACTTTAACGCTGTGGAAGTTTGAAGGGAAAAAAATAGATTTTTTTTGCTGACTGTAGACTAGAGTCGTTGAGTCGAGCATGGCCGCTTTGAATTGCAATTCTGTGCGCATTGTTCAGTTTTGCAAAAAGGTTAAATTTATTTGAAGTACCTTAAAAAGGTTTTTTTTAATAAAATATGAAATATATGAAAACTGCTTAACCATTTATAGTTTACAACGTTAATTGCACTTGTTATGAGTGTCAGTCAAATAAAATTGTTTATTTCGCATTAAATGAAACATATATAGGTAGGTACCAGTGGTAGCCCAGTGCTAACGAGCTCGCTTGGGAAACCGCGTGAAGTGGGTTCAAATCCCGGGTCTCGCATCCTGATATTTTCATGTGCAAATCATTTCTAACATGATTACCACTTGCCTTACGGTGAAGGAAAACATCACTCACTCACCCTCGCTCCACTCGGGTTCGTCTCTAGGTACGTTAACGTTTAGTAGAGATATTTTCCCGCAGTTAAAAGTATCCTATATATTTATCCGGATAACCAGCTATCGTCATACCAAATTCTATCAAAATCTATCCAGTGGCTTTCTCGTAATGCGGTACCAGACAGACAGACCGACGAAAATTCGAAAAACTATAGATTCGGCTTCTGTATCGATAATTCTGACTATTTCAATAAGATTTTCCAAAACATATTTAATATACAGATTCAACTCACAATTCTATTATATATTTACAAGTAGATAAGTATAGATATTGCACGATATTAAGTTATTTCTTTTCATGATGGTGCTTTGTACCTATTCTTTAGTATGTATATGTTATGCGATATTTTCGCCAATTGAGAATTGATTTTCATAACACTTTGTTTAATGATTGAAGCTCAAATGTCCCATAGAAATTTATACTTCTAAGGAAATTGAGGAAGATTGTTTTAAAACACGAGCGTATATAATGGACTGGAGGTAAAAAATTATTTTTTTTTGAGAAATTCTTGTGAAATATTGAGAGTTTATCATGCTAGATAATATGTATGAACTAACATTTTAAACTTTTTTTCTACCCAAAAAATATAATATATCTTTATATATATAATTCTTCTGTGAGTGTGTATGTCACTGAACTTCTCTCAAACGACTGGACCGATTTTGATGAAATTTTTTGTGTGTGTTCAAGGGGATCTGGGAATGGTTTAGATTCACAATTTGAATAATAATTTTCATCAAAAAAATTATTAAAAAAAGTTTGAAATTTTCAAATTAAAGACGTGTAGACAGGACAACGTCTGTCGGGTCCGCTAGTATGATATAATACATGAATGTTGTAAATGTGAAATTTTTTGTGTGGAGATAGTTTGGAGGGCTGGAGAGTGACTTAAGCTAATTTTTACCGTGGGAGATTATCTAATTCCCATGGGAAAATACGTTATAATACAGTACAAAAAAATATTTATGATCAGAATTACTTGAAACTTGGTATTAATGCCCTTCAATAAAATTAAATAAATACGTGTTTTAGCATTTTTCGAAATTCATCCTATAAGAGGCTAAAATAGGGTATGAAAGTTTGTATGAAATTACCTTTTTTGAGATTTTTTGTAGTTTTAGCGCGACCTAAGCCGAGGGTTCTGCTAGTTTAAAATAAAACTCTTTTCTGACTTTTTCACAGATTTATTTTGATTTTTCGTTCCTAAATTCCAAATATTCGCGTACATCTAAGAAAGTGTTATCTAAGAATTACTAGAACCTACTTGGGCTGGACTCGAACTGAGGATCACCGAATCCGCGACCGAATATACTACCTACTAAACCACCGAGGCAGTAATTTTTCATACACTTTTATCTCGATTCCAATTTCACAAGCACTAAATTTCCACGTATAAATTCAAACGTATAAATCTGTAAAATCCCTAAAAGAGGACAATGCACTCTATCTACAATGACAATTTTAAATTAAAAATGTTCTTTTGCTGACGCTACTTCACGGTCGTTGAGAAGCTTGGCTGAAAATTGCAATTCAAAGCGCATTGTCCGATACTACGTCAATAGTTGAAAAAGATATTTATTGTATTGAAACAGTTGCAATCGAAATGAATTCCTTTCAATGTGTACTGTGGAAATACAAATACTAACGTGCGGGATGATTGCTTCGCGATAATAGAAAAAAAATCTGTTTTGTAATCTTATTTATTATATTCTTTTTTTTATGTTGTAATCTACCATCTAGTTCCATGGTAAGTTACGAGGCCTGTGTTATGGATACCAGATAGTTGATACACTACACATATTTAACTTTAAATACATACATATTATAAATATAAACACCCATGACTAGAGTACAAACATTTGTGCTCATCACATAAATGAATGCCGATATGCCGAGATATAGGGGATATATTTATTTTTTTATTTTTATTTATTTAATCATTTATTTCAGGCAATATTTACAAAGAGATCTTAAATATATAAACAGAGGCCCATAGCATAATTAAGTTTTAAGCGAAGTGCATACTTGGCGCAAATATAAATCTCTTGCGCAGATGGCTAGTATTAGTGAGATTGTATGTACTATGTATTCAGCCCTTTTAACGTCCCACTGCTGGGGGTGGGCCTCCCTTCAGTACGAGGAATCAGGCCATAGTCCACCACGCTGGCCAAGTGCGGGTTGGCGGAATTCACATGTCTTTCGAAAACTTGCTAGGTTCTCTCAGACATGCAGGTTTCCTTACGATGTTTTCCTCCACCGCAAGGCAAGTGGTAATCATGTTAGAAATGATTCGCACATGAAAATATCAGAGGTGCGAGACCTGGGATTTGAACCCGCTTCACTCAGTTTCACAAGCGAGCGCGTTACCACTGGGCTACCGCTGCCTAGGTAAGTAGTGGTAAGTTGTAGGTAGGTGTAGATTGGATGTCAGGAACGAAATCAGAAAGCCACTGTATATTATTATACATCCTTTATTGCACAAACAGTAAATATATATATGTAAAGTGGACAGAGATGGATTATTTTATACTAATAAGTCATTGATGATGGGGCAACCTCGATACTGTAATGAATCGCATTTTTGTTACTTCGTGGCGCTCTAACGGTTAGACAGATTTGGTTGTAATTTAGTACACAGATAACAAAGATCTGGAGTAAGACTGTTAGGCACCTAAGGTTGCACCCGAAAAAAGTGATGTATGTCACTAGTCTATACTAATATTATAAAGAGGTAAAG